AAATGCAAGTTCTTGGTTCCCAGCATCAGGTAAAAAATGTCATTTACTGTTTTGACCGAATGGCAATTACATCCAAACACGAGAGTTGATTCAAACCCGAATAATATCTTATTAAAAAGAAAACAATACTACCATGGTCAAGCTCAACATGTTTTACTACCCTCCATCAACATAATCTCTTGTGTCTTTATCTGTTCACGCTGCGTCAGATGAGTTATATAATCTTCACAAATTGATACTGTCGAGTAGGTGATTGCTCTATCGTAGTAACCATTAATAACCAGCAGGTAATTACAACTCGTCGATTGAGTAAGAAAGTAATGTAAGAGATAAGATAGAATATGATTTGATCTTGAGTAATTTGATGCTACTTGGTGCTTACTCCTTATACTGCGTGCCTCTCGTGTACTTGCCTTACGCGCGACAGATATATATATGCCTCTACTCAATCGACTCTGCCATACTGAGTAATTGAGTCGATTGTTCTACTAGTTGATAACTCTGAACCGAATGCCGAAGATATGATCAAACTATTGAGAACCAGTGATTGTAAACAAAGGAAAAAACAAAGGAAAAAACAAAGGAAAAAACAAAGGAAAAAACAAAGGAAATCCCCCTCTCACTACTCTACAATACCTGCTATAATTATATCCTATCCAACATTACCTAGGTGTTCTAACCACTATCAAACTTGTCAAGCTCGCGAGGATAGAAAGGAATTCGGTATCGGTAGTAGATTTCTCTAGTGAAGGTAACTATGACACAGCCTTACTACTTGAGCAGCGTGACAAATTAGCAGCAGCAGCAGCAGTCGGTCGATTCCTACGGACGTGCACCGAAATATTGAGACGAACCCAATCAAACAACCATACCTAATCAGGGCGAATGTGCCCTCGAGCCGCATACACTGAAAGAAGTCGATGTACCTGATCAGCTGTGGTACTTTTCGTAGCAGGAGAGAGTCCGTTTCAAGAACAGGACATTCGATCAAGATTTCTCATGTCCCGAATGTATTCGTCAGGGAAGGGGTGGTATTTGTGACTGCTGCATGGATGTTTAGACATAGAACCAGCCATCATTCCTACATTGTTCTCTCGTAAAAGTGAAATCAAAGATATTGCCTACTACAGGATGTAACAATAGGTAATAACTTACTATACAAAGGTAAGAAGGGTTATTATAAAGGTTATAGTTGTCACGGATCAGTATCCTAGGGAACTAGATGGATTGAAGAATTAGCTGGTTGCAATTAGAGTACTAAAGTTGAATTGAATACAATAAGCTACCGAGCTATCTAGGGCAGGAGGAAAAGGTCCTTGTATAGTAGGATAGGCAGCTACTGCACGGGCTATTCACTAGGCAGCAGTGCAGGGGCCATATCCTCCATCTGATCCAGCGGTGAAAGCCATCTCATCTGATATTGATACTCCATCGTCCAATAGTGATTAATCCTAGTGATCAACCGTCACAAACTCTAACAAGAGTATCTAAAGCTTTAATCTTCTTTATCTATAGGATCTAGTAGTTTATAGTGTTAGTCTATATTTTCTGCTTTAGTATTGTAAGCCTTGTATTAAGATCAAGGATATACTAGTTAGTTCTCTAGGATACTCTAAGAGGAATTATAAAGTAAGTAGGAAGTATTTAATAAAAGAAGTAGAACAGTAGAGTGTAATATCTAAGTACAACTTAGGTTAGCATAAGAGTCTGTTTGCAGAGATGTCAGAACAAAGACTCTAAGTTGACCTCTTCCTTGCGGCGTCGATATTCTAGGAGATTCCTCGGATCAAGAGTGGTCATAACTCCTATAGTGCGCATCGGCTCTAGACTTGTCCTATCTGCTAATCTCCAGTCGTACTTTAGCAAAAGATGACACAGCGCAACCTTGATTTCGTTTGCTGCAAAGAAGCGACCAGGACACGCGTGGATTCCATGGCCAAATGTCAGGTTATCTGTCCCTGTGGACACGAGGTGTGCCTTATTTGCTGTCTCAGGGTTGTCCCGCATACGTGCGTAACGGTCGATGTTGTACTTTTTCGGATTCTCGTAAATCTCAGGATTGATCATGTTGCTTGCATCTGTTGTGACCCTTTCGCCTTTGCGGATGACTAGTCCGTCTGGAAGATTAATTCGTTGTGTGGCCATCCTGCGCATGACAACTACATTAAGTGTGTCAGAAGTGGGAATAGTAAGCGACGCTGCTGGGCACTGGACTCACGAAGGCCATTCGGCTTAACCCTTTGCGTCTCCTTCAGTGCACTGTCAAGAAGCTTCATGTTGAAGAGTGCACTCTTCTTTAGGCCTTCAGCGCCTAAGACTCGAACTATCTCCTCGCGCAATCGGTCAATTTGCTCTGGTTCGTTAGCGAGCCGCAGGAGGGTCTGAGTGAGCAGATCTGTCGTAGTATGTATGGCGGCAAACGACAGTAACAACTGCAAAACTCCCCTATCATAATTCACCCCCTCACTCTCCAACTCGGCCCAATCGAGTGCATCGTTGAAAGTTGGGATTGGCGTTCCTTCTTTTTGGGCTCGAGCCTTGAGTGCTTGCCTCTTTTTAATGACGGGCTCGATGATTCTTTGCGAATCTTCGAGGTTCTTGCGAACAGACTTGCAATCGGCTGAAAACCAGCTATACACTCGTACTAGAAACTTCGGAATAAGGCTCATCTTAAGGGATGCTGTGAAAGCATTGACAGTATATGCCTTTGTTATGTTAATCCATTCCTCATTTCGGCACAGTTCTTCACCAAGAAACACGCGAGACGAGATACGGGCAATTAGGTCAAGCATAGACTCTTTGATGCAGGTTGCTTTCCAATCTGGGGCCATTTTAGGTGACTGCTCTCGAACAGGAGTGAGGGCATCCTACCATGATCATCACCAAAAATCAACCTGACAGCAAATGTAGCTTCCAAGGAAATAGGTTCTGTAACCGTATCTGGGAAATTCAGTCAGTAACGGGGATTACGTATGCAATCCGTAACATACTGAGATATTTGGTAAGTTGCTTTCGTATTACTCTCTGAACAATCTGCTGGTCATGGTCCAGGAATCGGAACGGTTCGAAGCCTGCAAGGTGGCCATTGAAGTCCTTGGGTGATCTGAGCTGAGCTGAAACCATATGGATAGTGCAACTTACCTGTCGTATAGCCTTGCTGAAACTCAAACTTTCTTCATTCCGGATTTTGTGGGCATATGCAGGTGGAAGAACCAATACCTCACCCTGCTCGGCGATGAGTCTGTATGGCTTGTCCCCGTACTTCTTCCTTGCTTTCTCAGCTATCTCCAATCCCGCTCGTAAGAACTCGATTTGCTTGGAAAGACGGGTCTGAAACCAGCCTGGAGGATTCGCAAGGGGGTACTGAGACTTCTCCTTGAAGAACTTCAGCGGAACACTAGAAATAAACAAGATAAGAAATGACGTAACAATCAAGGATATCATTCTCGAGGCCTTGGTACGCAGGGAACTTGTTTGCGAGCTTTGGAAACTGGGTGACGATAATCGTAAGGATGTTCAATGAGAAGTAAGCTGCGCTGTTCGAGGAGGGTCGCGATCTTCGCTACAGACGCACAACATTCGAAGAAGATTGACGCATATATACTTGTCATTAGATATAACTACTAGGGAGCTGTGATGTTATACCCGACCCTCCGACTACCTTTTGCGCTACAGATGATGTCCCTCGTCCTTTTATTTCAAACATGGAGACGTGGAGCTCAAACGTACAACAGGGGCGCAGCACCTACTCACCGCCGCTCGTGGCATTGAATCCCGTTGTCCACATATCAGTGTGACGCAGCTGCTGGACTAAAAGGGCCGAAAAGAGGCTGATATCCCTCGGAGAGTCGGATATACCGATAAATTGATTGATCGTATTAATTGTGCGTGCGCAATTCACCTCCTAAGTCGAACCGTGCAAGACTGGGCAAACGGGCTGTGCATGTTGGGTGGGATTGGAGCTGCAAGGTAGGTATGCCAGTAGAGCAGACGATGTATTATATCATTCATAGCACTCAAACCAAGCCTGATTGTCCGGAACACATCACGAAAATCCCTTATCACACGTACAACATGGCACGATGCAATAGCACCCTCGCAGTTGGAGGTACGCTTTTTTCCCTCTCCTTGCTAAATTGCCTAACAAAAAATAGTGCACGAAACTGCCTCGATTGGCAGCTTCACAGCTCATGGTCTTTTGATATTGCTATCGACACTCAGCTCAATAGTTGCATGCACGCTGTCAGCATATCTGATCTACCAACATCTCATCAACTACACGCAACCGAAAGTGCAGAAGCTGTAAGCACAGCATCAAATAAGGAATACAAACTAAGTACTGACAAGTCATGGCAGTATCATTCGCATCTTGTTCATGGTACCGATGTACTCGATATTCTGTACCCTAAGTATTCCATGGTATAAACAAAGTGTATACTTCGGCGCAGTCTACGAATTCTATGAGTCCCTGGTTATTGCCAGCTTTTTTTTGCTCCTCTGTCGGTATTTGAATCCAGATCTTAACGTAGTCCGGACCACTTTCGGCTTACTCGAGCCACAACCATGGCTACAACCTGTCCGATTCATCCGCAAGGTGGTGTTCCGTAAGAAAGTCGAAAACACTAGGGATGGCTCACTCTGGTTCAGCGTAACGTTCTACCCGCCCTCCGCATGACCCATTGGCAACTTGGTTTTCTTGTGTGTCTTCTATATCGTAGCTAACTGCGAGCAGATTATTTGGCTCTGTGTACTACAATTCTGCGTAGTAAAGTTTCTCGGTGCTCTCACGAAGATTATTACAGAGGCCTCAAGTGTGTACTGCAAAGAATCGTATGATCCTGGCTATGCAAGAATCTGGGTATGTGAGTTCTGTCAACAAAGCATATAATGGCCGGTATGGTGGCTGTGTGCTAACTACTGTTATGTTGCTCTAGGTTTTCGTCATCGAAATCATCTCTCTTGTAACAGCCATGTTTTGCCTTCTCCAATTTTACAAGCAGACTAAGCTCGAGCTTGCACCACACCGCCCGTTACTGAAGTTCATCGCAATTAAATTAGTAGTGTTCCTTTTCTACGTACAGGGTGTAAGCATATCTCCAAAGTGTCCTCTTTCCTAGTATGCTCACAGCCAATAGTTTGTCTTCGGTCAATTGACGAAGAACGGAGGATCCATGTTCCCTACAGATGCCATATCGTATCCTTCCCTAGCAGTGGGTATTCCTAATACAGTGTTGTGCTTTGAAATGGCAGCTGTGTCTGTCTTGCACCTCTACGCTTATCCGTACAGAGGGTTCAAAGTGGAGACATTGGAGGACTCCGAAGGCATTGAATGCTTCACTGCAGGTCATCACCAATCTAACGATGGCATAGCCGATCGAGAATCTACCGCAACAGACCGCTATATTGCACAGCCAATGACTCGGACCGTGAGACAGGCAATAATTCATGTTCTGAGTTTCAAAGACATGTGGCAAGCCATTGTGCAAGCGCCGCAGCATCTTTGCAGCCATGATAGAATGAGGCATATACGTTCTCAGCAGAGGCTAGACAGGGAGAACCTTGACTACTAGCTTACTACTACGAGCCTTTTGCAGGCACTAGCTCTTGCTGGCTAAAACTACTGCTGTAATATACAGAGGGTTGGCACGTCAGGCTAGCTGTTAGGATAGGTTGGTAAGGCACTTGGAAGTTGGCAATTAGCAATAGTGAGATAGAGTCAATTCTATCATCCCCAAATGATAGAGACGAATCGCTAAGGAAACTTATTGTTCCTCAGCTAGTGTTATAGGGAGCATTATGTAATCCTACTAAGCTAATCTAGGCCACTCAGGCCTCTGGCTAGTATAGGTGACAGGAATTGTCCCTTGTTCTAACACCAAGTACTTGACGCCTTCTCTGCCCTCATAGTGTAGAGTAGTGAGAGGGGGATTTCCTTTGTTTTTCCTTTGTTTACAATTACTGGTTCTTAATAGTTTGATCATATCTTCGGCATTCGGTTCGGAGTTATCAACTAGTAGAACAATCGACTTAATTACTTAGTATGGCAGAGTCGATTGAGTAGAGGCATATATATATCTGTCGCGCGTAAGGCAAGTACACGAGAGGCACGCGGTACAAGGAGTAAGCAGCAAGTGGCATTAAATTACTCAAGA